ATGTTCAGATACAGACAAAGAATTGGAGATAATTCTTCCCAGAAATTTAAGTTTTTTTTCCTGTCGTATGGAAGTATCATTGATGTTAAGTGTGATCTGTTTTATGCTGTTTTTGGCAAAGTACATGGTGTTTGATTTTTCCGGATTAAATGACAGGTTGAGTTCTGAAAGTGCTCTAGAAAAGTTGTTTGCCTTTCTTTGTAGGAGCTGCAAGGCTTGATCAAAGTCATTATGATAAACCATAATTAGAAAATCATCTGCATATTGAAAGATTCGGCTGTTATTGTCTTCCAATTGATGTAAAGAGGCAGTATATAGATTAAAAAGAAGTGGAGACAGACAGCTGCCCTGTGGGAAACCGTTTGTGACAGTAACTTGACTATTGCCAAGTTTGAGAAACCTTTTAGAAAAGAAGTTGATGATCTAGTTGGAAATTTGTTGGTTGAGACCATATTTATTCAATATATTGGCTAAAGTGTTAATTTTAACGCAGTTGTACGCATTGTTTATGTCCAGTAAAAGAACTAAAACTTTGTAGTTGTTCGTTTTCAGCAGGGCAATTCTGTGTAAAAATTCATTCAGGCATGTTGAAGTTGACATTCCGCTTCTGTAAGCAAATGTGCGACTAGGCAAGACATTGTTGTTTTCCAAATGTTGTATTATCATATCTTTAAGCATTAGATTAATGCACTTAACAAAGACTGAAATTAAAGAAATCGGTCTGTAATTTGCAATGATTTCCCGGTCCTTGTTTGGTTTGGGAATTGGTACGATTTTGATGATCCTCCAGCTATCTCGAATTGAGTTATTAAGAAAGGCGTTGTTCATTGCTGTAAGTACAGCTCTTTTTGATATTCCCGGAAGTGCTTTTATCATGTCGTAAGTTATTCTGACATGCCCAGCCGCAGAACCTTTGTGTTTGTTTTTCAAAATTTCTTCGAAATGATCAAAATCGAAGGTAATAGGTGGATTGTTTTCAGTAAGTTGAGAAGTTGAGTGTGGATTGGATTGAGATATATCATTTGACCCTTCATCCGGAACTTGTTCCTTTAGTAATCTTAAGTACGGCATGTCATTATCATTGTTCCAAACTGCGGTATCTGCCTTCGTTCGGTTCCGAACATTATTGATGAATTTCCACCCTTCACGCGTGTTGCCATTTTTATTTATTGTATCTATTTTGTTTTGAAAATTATCGCTTTTAGCTTTGATGATGGACTTTTTCCATCTCTCAACTTCTATTCTAGCCTGTTCAAGGTTATTATACGTTGGATATCTTTTGGCTTTCTTGATCGCTGCAAGTTGTCGACGGTACAGGGTTGAAAGGTTATCATCCCACCAGTACTTAGGTGTTCTGCCATGTTTTAGAGATGTAGTCGCTGCCTTGATTTCCTCACTTATCCCATCTGTAATCTGGTCAAAATCAGGTTCAAGTTCCAGATTGCTCAGCTGACCAAGTAATTTCTTTTTGTGCAGAAAGCAATTATTACGTATGTTAGAGTTGTTTATCTGAATGCTTATGGGTAGATGACCTTCAAGGGTACACCAGCTTGCAGCAATTCCATTTGAAACAAAGGTTAAGTCGAGTACAGATCCCTGGGAGGTCCCTCTGCCTTCAAAGGTAGGGTCTCCATTGTTTAAATTTACGAAACCAGATTCCAGCATGATAATTTCAAGTTCCTTGCCTTTTCTGGATGTGACATGATCACACCAGCATGTATTTCTGGCATTAAAATCACCACATAGAATTACGTTGTCAAATCTTTCCAAAAAGGAAGCAAGTTTGGTCATTTCCTCAACGAATATAACAAAAGGAGTTGATGGTGGAAAATAGATCGATGCCACAACATAATTTCTTGCAAGGTTTGTAGTTTTAACTATTAAAATGTCTTGTTCCGTTTCAAACGGAATTTTGGAAAATTTTATTTGTTTCCTGAGAGCTATGGCAACACCACCATATCCATCAGGTCTGAATTTTTGAATGAGATTAAAGTTGATGAATTTGTTAGAATTTTTGATATTTTCTGAAAACATTTCTGCAAGAATTACAATGTCATATTTGTTTTTGTTGACGAAGAATTCAATATAGTTTTTGTTAGTGCGAAATGATTGAATATTAAATTGTAGTATTTTTACCTTGTCCATGTTGATTTTGTGATTTGAGTTCATTGTCATCAAGATCAAGAGATAGTCCGCATTTTTGAATTCTGTCATTGAAATGTTTCATAGCCTCTATGCCAATGGAATTATTGTTGTTTTTGAAGACATCCAACATAAATTTAACCAGTTCTTTGGTAATTTTTTCTAATTCTTTAGTTCTTTGATGCTCCTGGACGAAGACTGGCTTGGACGGCGATGGTTCTTCAAACATTCTATTTGAAATTGAAACTCCCGGCTTGTGAATATACCTTTTCACCGGTTTTTTGGCCACAGAGCTATATGTGAATGGGGTCATTATTTCATTGACTTCGTTGTCAACTGATTGATCCACAACCTTTTTGGTTTTGGTAGTGTTATTTTTTGCAGTACTTGGAAGGTTAGGGAAATTTTCCTCATCCCAAAGAATATCAAAACGATTTTTCATGTTGTACATGGTTATTACCTCCTTTCTGGACATTTTCTTCCTCGTCATTATTTTGTTCGTTTCAATTTCTTTGGCCCATGTTGAACATTTTTCTTTTTCCTTGCAGGAATGGTCTGATGACTTGCACAGAACACATTTTTTAAAATTGCAATTACCCTCACACATCTCATTGCTACACTGCAAACATCTGGTCTTAGAACGACACCCCATTTTCGTATGACCAAGTCTTCCACAATTGAAGCATAGTCTTACAGCCGGATAAAATGTATTTACAACCAGTACCGTATGGTTAAAAACAACCCAAGCCGGGTGATTATTACCGCTAAAGCCAATCTTAATGGCTTCGGTTTGTCTTACTTCAGACCCTTCTTTTCTGGTGAATCTTTTCACCGACGTTACTTTCCTATCGGAGACAATACCTTTTAACAGATCCTCCTCTGAAAAACAGACTGGTACGTTTCTAATGACTCCAAAGGTTTCCACAAAGTTCCTTGGGACAAAAGCTCTCAATTTTTTCTTCTTTAGATCTTCATTTTGTATAAAATTATTCGCAGAGATTCTGTTTTCAAAAGAGATTTTATAGAGCGTAACACCAATCGCATCTACCCTTTTGATGCTGTTAAATTCTTTGGCTTTGATATCTTTGATTTTTTCTATAAGATACAAGCCATTTTTAACTTTTTTGTTTTTAATATTTTCCGCCTCATTAGTATCTACTAACACCATAAACTCACCTTTATGCTCCGCACTATATAGGGTAGGTTCATCATTAAATCTCCTCTTCTTGGGATCTTGCAGAATTTTTTGCGTTAGGGCGTCCGCATGTTCAGCAGCTTCATTTTGACACACATCTATAGCTTTATCGCCATTTTCTAGACCTCGTTTGAGTTTGGCATTTAACTGTTCAGCGCTAACAGTATTAGCCTCACTCACACATACAAAAGCGTCTCGAGGTACAGACGCCATGGCGTCCACAACCTCACTTAACGTGGCTTTCCTCACAGCCACACTCAGATTGTTTTGCACTCACACACCAGGTATGAAGAAAAAAAAATTTTCCACCGTAGTTCCACAGCAACAGGTTTATATTTAATGATGTAAAAATTATTCACCAATCCCAATACATCAGCTGCACAGCAACCAGCAACTTGAAGAAAAATAAATGCACACAGCAGCCACCAGCAGAAAGAACCACACAGCAGCCACCAGCAAAGAAAAACACACAACCACCAAAATTTATGTATACCAGTATACACACACTAAAAAGGCACTTGAAAAATATTACGTCTTGACTCGTTCAACTCTCAACCAGGAATGGTACACAAAGATAGCTGACATTATATTCGAAGGAAACAAACGTTTCTGTTTACATTTAGTTATAATTGTTTCTTTTGAACTTAAAAATAAAAAGTGCCGACTACTGGGACATGCCGAACTTAGGCACACTTACCCTACCCTCCATTGTATGGTGGAGGGTATAAAAATATTTCATCTGACAGAGCTACAGTCAACTTTCTACTATCTACAACACTAATTTCCGAACGCAATTATCCAGAACAACTCTAGTAGAAACTCTTTTAGAAAGTTTTCTTTAGTAGACTTTTTCCAAGATGTAGGTATTTTTACCCTGATTCCGGGAAACTATTTGTTTCTTGGGAACAGACCCGGGACCCCAGATTTTTGACCCGAAAATCCAGATTCAAGACCCGGCCAGGACACGGATCCACTTACCCGATATAGACAATATCGTAGGAAAGTTATGAAAATACCTATCCAACAATTGGACACATGAGGGAGTAGGTCATGGTTCTGAAGTTATAATCAAATTATCCAAAAAGTCCAAAACGGCCCATTATGGGGGTCAACAAAATTGATGGCAATTTGTAGCCTATATTGTCTATATCGAATAATTAAGTCTAGTCGGGGTCTTGAACCCGGACTTTGGGTTCAAAAAATCAAAATCTGGGGTCACGGGTCCGTCCCCCAAGAAAAAATTAGTTTCCCGGGATCAGGTTAAAAATACCTACCAAAAATTGAAGAGTTTTTACTAAACTAGAGTTAAGCCAATTATCATTATTCAACCACATTGTGCAATCGCAAACAAAACATCTCAGAGAGAGAAACGCACATAATTTATTTCCTTTCAACAAACAAATTACATGTATCGGTCAGACGTATCGGACGGATGGCCAACAATGGCTACACGACAAAATCTCATTTTTAGTCGGAAAATATGGCCTTTCCATACAAATTTTGTTGGTCTCAAAACCGCAAGGAGTACCTGTGGTAATATTTTCAAATCGATCCGCGAGGTGCCCTAAGCCCCACTTAATACTTATTGTAAGAGAGTATGGTCTTTTATATGGGACGATTGACTAAAAAACAACTTCTGATCAAACGTAAAACACAATAAAAATTCCTTCAAATACATAGAAACATTTTATTCATATTTTGCTATAAAAACCATAATACCTACACCCAGCAATAATGCAGTTATTTCCTTGATTGACTGCCATAGCTTGGTGGATTCTTCAAGCAACTCCGGAAGAACACTTACTGCTGCAATATAAATAAAGCCACCAGCAGTAAATGGAAGCACCCACGGAGCTGAATCAGATTCATTTCCAATACCAATTAATGCTAATATATTTCCTGTTAAAGCGCCTAATGCTGTAACAAGTTGAAGACACATCGCTTTTTTTCTGGAACACCCAGATTTAATAAGAATAGCATAATCACCAATTTCGTGAGGAACTTCATGCAGCAATATTGTTAGGGTAGTGATAAAACCAATGTCATTACCAGCCAAATATGATGCGCCTATGGCAAGTCCATCCGTAAAATTGTGTGCAAAATCGGCAGCCAGGTTTAAATAACCAGATATTTCAAATCTCTCAATATCGCCTTGCGTCTTCGTTTCTGACTTACCATGGCAATGACCGTTCTCGCCTTTAATGAGCCTAACCAGTTTTTCCACAGTTAAAAAAACAATAATTCCCCCGAGTACCCATAGTCCTGTAGTAATGTCATGGCTATGCTCATGAGAGTGACCATGTTCATGGCTATGCTCATGAGAGTGACCATGTTCATGGGCGTGACCACATTCGTGAGAATGATGAGGATGTGTCGCGTGGGGAATTAGATGAAGGAAAGCATCGCCAAGAAGGCCGCCAGAGGCAAACGCCAAAATTATTTTAAGTCGTGGCCTCATAGCATCGCTGTTATCCAACGGTATCACGAATAAAATCAAAAATGGCGCAGCACTTATAACTAAAGTTGATGCCATCGAATAAATCCACACGTTTCCTACATCTGATTAACAATATTTAATAATGAAAAAATCATAAATTTTAATTGAAATACGAACCTATCGATGGTCCCTTTTTAAAAGGTAGAGTATTTAAGTGAGGCTCGTGGATTTCCACACCTTCATTTGCTTCACGAGAGTACTTAAAACTCGGATTGTCATGACTGTGCCCATGACCTGGAGTAAAAGCCGGCATGGAAAGCAGCATACAAAAAAACACAACGATCACGGCCCATTTTTGAGCGGGGAACCATCTATTATTATTAAACATTTCGCGTTTGATGAAACCCTATCCAACACGTCACATAGTCAGTCGTTTATTAGGGAAGACAAAATCCATATGAACAAAATCGATAGCATATTTTTCATTCACTGTTATTTGATATATTTCGATAATATAGTCGATATCATAATGCTATGATCTCATTGCAATTTCAATCACGTTAGTTGTGTTCCAGAACCAGAACAAATTAGTACTAATTCTGCTACAACGCGTTCCCGTACTGCAAAAACTAGCAAAACTTGCAGCTCTCTCGAGAAAAAAATGGCGCTGAGTGATGCACATTTCTGCTCGTTTTAGCTACATGAATTTGGCCGAGCAGAAATGTGCAAATTGAATTTGACATTTAATTGGCAGGGCTAACAAGGTTGAAAAATGTATTGATACATTTCAATGTTCCCGCGTCATAACAAAAATAAAGAAATGATCAACTTAAAAACTAAAGGAAAAACTAATATTTGTAGTGCAAAAAAAAAGGGAAAATATGGAACACTTTTGGATGATTCCAGTAGTGAAAAGGACTGGCTGAATGATGAATCAGATTATTAATTATTATTATAGATTATTAATTTTAACGTATCGTCTTCAATACTACTTTTTTAAATTTTGGCGTCCGTTCTGTAAGGTTTCACCAGTCCGATTTGGACTGTTTACTCTTGGAATTTTGACATTTTATCGCATTTCTGCTAATTCTCCGTTCCCTTATTTTTTGAGCACACCTAATTGAGAATGACATTTCGAACTGTTCTCTCTTCTGCTAGTTTTACTACTAAAAAAGTACTGGAACACAACTGTTGTTCGCTCTCAGAATTATAGCATGTTTCCATTGGAAACCGAACAACGTTGTTCGCTCTCAGAATTAGGTACACGAATTAACCCGTTCATACGGCACGATTCATAATTCATAGTAAAATTATTCCTTTTTTCAAAAATTTTGTTTGTTGATTTTAATGGGAATTTTTACGAAAATACATGAAATTCTCACCAATATAAATAGAAGAAATTATTGTTTTTCTCCCAAAGATTTATTTTATCATTAATTTTACAATTTTCATTCATGTTTTCAACTTTTTGTGTAAATGTTGACATTTTGAAGATATTTTTGTATTTTACCATTTTTAAAATCTGCTGGAGAGACACTTGTCAAACATTTTTTCTGCCGATACAAACATTTTGAAAATATTGCCTCTTTTGTTTGCAGTTTTCTGTGGAAATTTCAACCGTGGACCAAATGCGTACTAAAGGGCTGCAAATGTGACAATTTTCTCTATTTATGCCATGGAGAGAAAACGCTCGTCATGTTGTGCCCTGTTTGATCAAACGCATAACAGTACGTGACATCCAACCAAATGCTCGATGTCTCGTCGTGTCGGTCACACTCAAACCCATCGTCATAACATGTAATGACCAATAAAAGGGAATGTTGAATAGTGTGTCATGCAAAAATGTTCTATCAAAAAACAACAACAATTATAAAACAATTGCCAACGAAAAAGACACACACGTGATGAATGCAAAGCGCAATCGCTACCTGCTTTTCCGATATGTGAAAAAATATTTTTTTTGTAATAAAGAATTTCTTGGCGAATACTAAAATATTAAAGGTACTTCTAATTGGTCCACACAAAATTTTCACATTTCGTGGTTATGGACGAAAAAATCTAAAATGTTAATCCTTATTAAAAACAGTAATCCCCTGAAAAATGTTCTTATTTTGATTATAATTTAATAAATGTTTGCCTCCGGTAGTGAGGTGTAAATGAGAATAAGTGCTACTGTAATTCATGTAACAACACTATATACTTCCATTGTTCAATTCTGTGCACAATCTGTTATTGAATGAGAGTCAGATCTCTGCCCCCAAACTTTATTTTTAAAAGAACATTATATGTAGATAGAAAATAGGCAAACCATATTTACCCGTTTTTTATGATCAAAATTTTATGATAATCACCAATAAATTGAGATTATTCAGAATATATTTCATTTTTTCTATTCATTTGTTTATGTCAATGTACATTTTGCTATTGAACTCAATTTTATGTGTACGCGGTGTTTCTTACTTCAAAATTACAGCACACAAAAAATACCCTCACCGTCGAAAGTAACACACACACACTCTCTCAATTTAAGCACACGTACACAAATGACACACAATTTGACGATGACACGGTTCGATGTCATCGTTGACACCCTGCATTTATGGAGAACACCATGCAAATATTCGAGTCAGCCATGCCACGATCGAACCTTAGACAATGTCACACATGAATCAAAATGGGGGATGTTGTTGGTTGTCATTGCCTATCAAATACATAGCGCATGATTGAGTAGACAAAGTCAGTGTGTCGAAAAAGGCATAATTCATACAATTCGTCTTGTGCAGGCCTTTAATGCGCACCTTGAATAATAGAGAAAACAAAATGTACTTTCGTTTGAATGTACATACGCCATTCAACATTGTAGTTTTCATTCATAATTTTCAGTCTTCCCAAAAAAAAAAATTTAATTTCTTCAAATTTTCTAGTTTTAATTTTTAAATGTCATAATTTATTTTTTCGATAAATGCTCTCATTTGTTAGGGATGGGACATGGTAGAAGAATATAGGTAGACGCGTCGACACAGCTGTTGGGACAATGAACTGTCAAACTAATCTTAGAATTGAAAATGTTGAATGGTAAACATTACCATCATTCTCCACTAATAAACAAACGTTGTTTTTATAAAAACAACAATAAAGGGATAAGCCTGACCATTTTGCAACAACAATTATTTTAATTTGTAAAAAAATTTAAAAAACGCGAATTATATTAGCCTCCGAATGACGTAGTATAAGAAAACATAAAAATCTACTTATATTTGAAAATACATTTACATGTTTTTTGACATATCAATGCTCCCAAGCGTTGATGCATCTACCTGTATTCTTCTGCCATGGGATGGGACATATTTTTTCATTGTTCTGTGAGTGATTTGATTTGAACAATGTACAAATATGAGTGTTCGCTCAGGAAATTTTATGTGAAGAATTAAGTAGTTTTTCATAGTTAAGGGTCAAACAACGAATAGAGAGCGAATCAAGTGTAGTGGAAACGCCACATTAGGTACACCAATTAAACCGTTCATACGGCACGATTCGTAATTTATAGTAATACTAGCAGAACCCGGCGCGCTTCACTACTCTTTTTGCTTTTATATGCATTCAAAATTTTATATATGAATATTTGTTGGTTAAAAATATAAATAAAACAAATTCAAAAAATTTAAAACCATTATTATTATAACGCGTGAACATACCAGGAACAGCTGACCATGAAAAAAGCAGGAACATGCTAAATTTAGTCCACATACACGAAGGGATTGTCCTTTAGATTCATTAATTACATAGCAAAAGCCAAGCGTGCCGGAAAGGCATTACTGTTGAAATTAGAGAATTCGAGGTAACAACATACTTTCCAGTATTAATCATACCCTCAATTTAATTTTTGTGTAGTTTTTATACTCTCCACCATAGTATGGAGAGTATATTAAGTATGTCATTCCGTTTGCAACACCTCGAAATATACATTTTAGACCCCACAAAGTATATGTATTCTTGATCAGCATAAAATTCTATGTCGCTTTAGCGTTTGTGGAAATCACTCTAGCTTCCGAACGAAATAAAGTAGGTTGATAAAATTTTACTCAAATGTATACTATGTCTGCAGGATTTTTGGTATTGAAAATAGACCTTGTAGGTTCACGTTTTGGTACAGCCCCCATATAATGGTGCCTCCCGATATTCGGTACTTTGATGATTTTAGAGACATTATTCGCCGGAATTAATTCAAATTTGTTATTTGAAGTTCGTAATGCATACTACAGCCTATGACAGAAGATTTTCTGTGGAGGTTAACGTCTACGTATACATTCTGTATTTTTAAGATTTAAACACAATTTTTAACGGATTTAATTTTTTGAAAAGTACGAAATTCGTTCCTAATGGTGGAGGGCATTCAAACTTCGTCCCGGCCGAACTTACAGCTATTTTAATTGTTTACTGTTAGCCTTATACCATTGCAAATGCGTTGTGGGTCAATGCTTCTTAATAAAATCATATTCCAATCTGAAACGATTTCAATATAATTTGACAAAATTTACATTTACACCAAATTCCGTCACACCTTCCATATTTCATTGAAATTGAAGGTACATACCGTGTTTGGTGCATCAAATATGTGAAATCGGCCGAGAATATATATGGGAGCTATATCCAAATTTTAACCGATTTCTAATTAATTTGTCAAATTTTTTATTGTATCTAAATTTCGCCACACATTCTGAATTTCATTGGAATAGGACATACATATGGTGTTTGGTGCACAACATTTATGAGATCGGACAAATAATATATATGGAAGATGTACCCAAACCTCAACCGATTTCAATATAATTTGGCAAATTTGTTTTTGTATCAAATTTAGTCACTCATGCTCATTGGAATCGGACATACGTATCGTTTTTGGTGCATCAAATATGTGAAATCTGCCGAAAGTATTTATGGGAGCTATATCCAAATCTGAACCGATTTAAATATAATTTGAAAAATTTATTTTTGTACCAAATTAACTCATGTCAAATTTAATTGGAATCGGATATACGGATCGTGTTTGTTGCATCAAATACATGAAATTTGCCGAAAATATATATGGGAGCTATATCCAAATCTGAACCGATTTTAATATAATTTAACAAATTTATTTTTTGATCAAATCCCGTCACACATTTCAAATTTCATTGCAATCGAACATACTCAGCGTGTTTAATGCATCAAATACATGACAGCTATATCCAAATCTGAACCGATTTCCATAAAAAATAGCAAATATATTGTCTAATCAAATCCCGTAATTTATTCCAAATTTGGAGAATATATCTGAAATTCGCATTAATATGAATGGAAGAAAAAACTGTTTTTGCTCTAAAGGGCGATTTTATCATTATTTTGCAATATACATACATGTTTTGGCCCTTTTTTGTAAATTTTGACATATTGAATATATTTTTGTGTGTTTTATTT